CGCGCTCCCAGCACAAAGACCGGGGTGTCACTGAGAGCCCCGGGTCCCATTCGAATGATCGGGACCTGGGACTCCCGATTCTGGGTCACATGATCGCTGTGATAGCCTCTGATTGGCTATCAAAGTGATCAGTCACTGTGAAACCCTCCTTGGTTTTTTTCCTCTCTGAATAGAGAAGAGAGATACATTGTATCTCTCGTTCTGTCTCTCCTTGCAGAGAGGGAAAAAAAACAACTGTTTGTAAGAAGAAAAATAATAATAAATAAATAAATATTTAAAAAAAAGAAAGAAAGAAAAATATCCAGATCAAGATTTGATCTAGTTTAGTGCCAGAGTTAGTGTTTGGGTCAAGATCAGGGTCAAAGGTCACACTTTTTTTTTTTTTTTTTTTTTTAATTGGTATCAGTGTGTTTTAGGTAAAAAAACTAAAAACAAAATATGCACTTTTGTTTCTGGACTGTAGTACAGGTACAAACAACAAATAACATACACATATATGGTATCGTTGCAATCATCAAGAGCTGGAAAATTTTGGGGGGGTTGTTCTTTGGTGGTAGGTTATGGTAGTAGCAAGAAATACACAGCTAAATAAAAAAACATTTTTTAGCCAGTTTTCCTTTGATAATAAAAAAAAATCAGGAGCTATCCATTATCATTTACCACCAAATGAAAGCCCAATTTGTCTTGAAAAAAACAAGATATAATTCACTTGGATGTACAAAGTAGTTGTGATGATATGTACGGTTTTACTAACACATGTCAAAGTTGTAAAATTTTACTTAGGTTTTGACATTTGTTTTACCCTTAGGCATGTGTTGGTATGCCAAAATTGGGATTACAAAGAAGTGCTCTTCAATCAGCAGATTCTACATCAAGGAGGGCCTTTTCCTCTTTGGGATATTGGAGACACTAAAGGGGACAATCCTCTAAACCTCTTCTCAGTAAAGGGCAAGCTTGGGGCAGGACTAGAAATATATGTAACATGGCATCGCGTGCAATGACTTGTGGAATTTGGGAGGGGTTTATGTAGAAGAGATAGTGTTTGATACCAGTGTGTCAGAATATTAAAATTGGTTTCCTAGATCCTCATACAAATCGGTGATTTGAGGGAGAACCGGCCAATATTGTTCTTTTGATCCATAGTAAGGTGCATAGTAAAAGTATGGTCCAAATCTGATTCCCAGTTCTCTATACAGGGCAGTCTGTAATCATCTGGGGGTGCTGCTAATAGAGAGTATACGTTCAAAGTACGTGGGGTAAGGTCCCTCGGTCAGAGCAATATTTCTTTAATGTAGTGTGCTGGCGGTTAAAGTTGCTTGAGGATCCTCTATGTATGACCTCGGCTATCCCATCTGACTACGTCTGCTCTGATTCCCACCTGGTACCTGACCTTGGCTTGAACCGACTACCCAGTAAACATCTAAATCCCGGAAAGGCTTGCATACCATGCACAGGTTCCTCATGTCTACAGACCTATCTCCGTGCACCAGCTATGCTTCTGAGTGGACCACCAACCAGCACTCCTACAGGCAACCTGTGCAACTTTGGGCCTGACTCATGCTGTCCCACTCTCAGGGGAGTCCGGAACTTAGCTGCAAGGGAAGCTCTCTCCATTGGCCTCCATCACCAGGTACGTTATAGGTTCCTGAAAAGGGTATTACTTTTGGTAGGATGCTCATTTTTATGATATTGCTGCATTTGAACCGCAAATGTAATCCACAATGCCACATCTCCATCCAGTAAGGAACACGTCTTAATCAGTAGTGGAGAAAAGTTAAGTTAAAATACACGAGACAGTCAGGAGGGGACTAATGTGCCAAGATATTTTGAGGCCAAGTCTGTCTATTTGAGCTGGAAACTGAGCCGCAAAGTCTGAAGTCGAGGTTGTGGTATTGCCACTCTCATCACTTCTGACTTATTAAAATTAATCTTAAGGTTAGGTAGCGCCCCATGAAGGTTGAATTCATGAAGGAGGTTAGGAAGAGACACAGATGGATTGGTCAAAGAAAAAAAGCATATTGTCAGGGTATGCCAATAGCTTATGTTGAATCCCTCCAACACTAAGGCACGTGATATCCAAGTTCAAACAAATCTTGCATAAAAAAGGTTCTAGTTTAAGGGCAAACAGAAGGGGAGACTGCCTTGTCCCATAGGTAATAGGGGAAAGGTTCGGAAAGGACCTCGTTGGCCTTGGCGTGGAGAACACTTTGGAAACCCAAGTAAGCATGGTATTGCCGAGTCCAATATAGCGTAGAAACAAAACATGAACTGACAATTTACCCTGATTTTTCAGCGTCCATGTCCAGAAGCACGCATGAGGTATGAGTCTGCTTAAATAAATGCATCACGTTCATACCCTACTCCTAATCCTATTTTCGTAATCAAACATTATCACTTGCCACCCCACCACAGTACATTTACTGCAGCATCTGCAGGCACAATCACGTAATATATATATATATATATATATATATACACACATATACACACACATACAATATCCAACCTGCTATGGGTTAGAAGCACACAGCAGGCCCTTCCTGTTACTACTGTGTCCACCTGACACAGCAGAGTACTGTTACCGGTAACCGAGTATCATGTGATCGTTATGATTGGTCATAGCAATTACATGACAACAATATAAGAAACCTGTCATGAATAGGTTTCCTTTCATGAACAGCTCACTTGCTGTTGTGATCTGTGATTGGCCCACAGCAATCAATCATACAGTATGGTTCTTGGCTACATGTAAGATGTGAATTGCTGTAGCCAATCACAGATTACAACCATGAGCAAGCTGTTCATTAATCGAAAACCCATTTATCACTGTATAAGCAATAATAGTGTGAAAAATAATCCCTGATCACCCCCAGAATAGTACGGTGTCACAATATGGAAAGAAAGCAAATTTCATTTAAAGTCTTCATTTTTCAAAAAATTGTGACAAAAAATTAAACCATCAAAAAACTCTACATGCCCCTTATTAAATACTTCAGACTCTCAGCTTTCTGAAAAGAGGTCATTTGGGCTGCATTTTTACTATCCTGGCATTTTAGGGCCTCAAGAAATGAAATAGGCAGTCAGTAGATCAGGAATGATCAAATTCTAAATATACATGTGTTAAACAAAAAAATTGAAAAACTACATGATTTGCAGGGGTGAAAGTGACGACATGTTTAGCGTTGAAAGCAGAAGTAATGTAACATTCTTTTGCTTCCACTGTGTGATGAGACACCTAGCTAACAGATGGGAAGCTTCCCTTATATCTTTCACTGCATGCACAGCTAGTAATACGGAGTCGTGTAAAAGCTTACGGAGCTTCAAAGAGGGCAAATTGTTGGTGCCGCTTAGCTGGTGCCTCTGTGACTGAAATTTTCAATTTATGTGCTGTGTCGCGAGGTATGGTATAAAAGGTTATGACAGCATATCAAGTTTCAGGGAAAAAGTCATCTGATAAGCATAAATGACTGTAGAGCTCAATCTCAGTCTTCACGGGACTGAGATTGAGCTCTGCAGTCACTTTTGCAGCAGTTGTTTTCCTATAACAGGTCACAATCGTGCGTAATATCCTTTTGCATCTTTCGGTCAGTTTACCATGTCGACCATGCTTATGTTTATTAGACAACATTTTCCCAAAAACTGTATATGCTGTCATAACCTTTGATACTGTACCTCACAACATGACGCAAATAAATTGCCAACTTCAGTCACAGAGGCACCAGCTAAACGGGCACCAACAATTTGCCCTCTTTGAAACACAGTAAGCTTTGACATGACTCTGTATTACGAGCAGTGCATGCAGTGAATGAGGAAAGTGAGGCTTCCCAGGTGTCTCATCACACAGCGGAAGCAAAATAATGTTTACATCACTTCCACTTTCAACGCAAAACAGGTTTCACTTTCACACCTGCAAATCATGTAGTGTTTCCATTTTTTGTGTAACCCCTGTATATATACACCATTGTTTGCAGATGCTATAACCTTCGCACAAACCAATCAATATACATTTATTGGTATTTTTTCTTCACCAAAGACATGTAGCAAAATACATTTTGGCCTAAATTTATGAAGAAATGTGAATTTTTAATTTTTTTTTAATTGGATATGTTTTATAACAGAAGTAGAAAACATCTGAGTTGTTTTTCAAAATATTTGGTCTGTATATATTAAAAGATTGAAAAAAACCTGTGGTGATCAGATACCACCAAAAGAAAGCTCTATTTGTGTGAAAAAATATATAAATGTCATTTGCGTACAGTGTTGTATGGCCATGCAATTGCCAGATAACGTAGTACAGTGCTGCATAGCAAAAAAATTCCCTGGTCTTGAAGAGGGTAAGATCTTTCAGATGTCAAGTAGTTAAGGGATACAGGGTGACATTTTCTGGTACACTGATATGTCCAACAGCAGTCCAACTAAGCCTTGAGCAGTGAGCAATTTGGAGTGAACAAAATTCTAACAGGCCCACAAAAACCAATAGGTTAACAAAGGTGTTTCAGCAGAGACTAAAGAGCACCTTATGGCTGAAGCCTAGAAGAACCTAATCAAAGTAGAAACAGAAGACAAAGTGGCAGCCCTGCCATCTGAGAAAAGAGGTGATTGATGCTAAAAAGCCCAATAAGCACTAGCATACTGTATCAACTGTATTGTGCTTTGACATGGAAATAGGGAGTCTTATCCTTAAGGTCATAAGCTTGGATAATGAGCTGTCAAATGTATGTAGTGTAAGAAAAAGGATGTCACCTGAAACTACATTGGTATCCGACCCCAAAAAGAATAAACAGTATAGAAAACCACAAACTGTTTAGTGGGTGACAGGGACCTTAACCGCCTCCCGCCCACCATATAATAATATGAAGGACGCAAGGTAGTTCTCTCGTTCTGGGAGGACCGCGCATGCGCGTCTTCCAGAGCTCGCAATGCGGCGATCGGCAGTGCGCTGTGTCCCTCGGACACAGCAGATCACTGATCCACGGAAAGAGCCAAAGATGTCGGCTCGGTCATGTGATCAGCTGTGTCCAATCACAGCTGATCACATGTAAACAGGGAAAAGGGAAATGCCGGTTATCGGCATTTCTCTCCCCATGAGCTGACAGCTTATGAGGAGAGGAGAGCCGGTTTTCGGCATTCCTCGGAGGGGACATGTACACAGATCATCAGAGCACTGATGATCAGTGTGCCCTGATGAGCTGTGTAGCCCCAGCAGCGCCACCTGTCATTGTCCATCAGTGCCAACTCTCTCTGCTCATCCATGCCACCTGCCAGTGCCCATCAGTGCCACATCAATGCCACATATCAGTGCCCATCTGAGCTGCCTTTCAGTGTCACCCATCAGTGCCAGTCAGTGCCACCTATCAATGTCAGTCAGTGCCACCTATCAGTGCTGCCAATCAGTGCCAGTCAGTGCCGCCTAACAGTGCCAGTCAATGCCGCCTAACAGTGCCAGTCAATGCCGCCTATCAGTGCTGCCTATCAGTGCCATATATGCCATATAGTAATATGACGGACGCAAGGTGGTTCTCTCGTTCTGGGAGGACGTCATATGACGTCCTCCCATTCTCACCGCACATGCGCGGCTCAGGGAGCATGCAGTATCCCTCGGACACAGCGGATCACCGATCACGGAAAGAGCCGAAGATGTCGGCTCGGTCATGTGATCATCTGTGTCCAATCACAGCTGATCACATGTAAACAGGGAAATGCTGGTTATCGGCATTTCTCTCCTCTCATGCTGTCACGCTGACAGAGGAGAGGAGAGCCGGTAATCTGATTTCCGCGGAGGGGACATGTACACTGATCATCAGGGCACTGATGATCAGTGTGCCCTGATGATCAGTGTAGCCCCAGCAGTGCCAGCTGTCAGTGTCCATCAGTGCCACATCAATGCCACATATCAGTGCCTACCAGTGCAGATCAATGCCACATATCAGTGCCCATCTGAACTGCCTTTCAGTGTCACCCATCAGTGCCAGTCAGTGCCACCTATCAACGCCAATCAGTGCCGCCTATCAGGGCCAGTCGGTGCCGCCTATCAGTGTCATGTATCAGTGCTGCCTAACAGTGCCCATCAGTGATGCCTGTCAATGCCCATCAGTGCCACCTACCAGTGCCTCCTCACCAGTGCCCATCAGTGCCACCTATCAGTGTCCATCAGTGCAGCCTATCAGTGCCCATCAGTGCAGCCCCATTAGCGCACATCAGCAAAGGAGAAAAAATCACTTATTAACAAAATTTTATAACAAAAACTAAGAAAAAACTTTTTTTTGGTTTAAGAAAAAATAAAAAAACCCAGAGGTGAATAAATACCACTAAAATAAAGCTCTGTCACAAAAAAATGATAAAAATTTCATATGGGTACAGTGTTGCATGACCGCGCAATTCTCACTCAAAGTTCAACAGCGCTGAAAGCTGGAAATTGGCCAGGGCAGGAAGGGGGTATAAGTGCCTTGTAAGCTAGTGGTTAATAAACCCCACTTAAACAACACTATGAGTTAATAAGTAAAGTCAGCGCAAACCACATCAAATGACCAGCTGCCTGTAATAAGTGTACTGTAGATATACAATACACAAATAAGATAAATAAACATGATTGCCGCACTTAAAATAATTAAATGTAAAAATATAATTCAAGTGTCTGCAAATGTAAATAAATATGAATATTTACACCTCAGTGTCCCAACTTATAATGTGAGAAATTCACAAAAAAATATATAAAATAATGAAAAAACATAAAAAGTCCAATAATTTTATCTTCAAGCTTTCACCAAACTATTGGAAAAAGACCACCCATGTCATACCACCCATGAATACTGCAGATCACTCTATCTATAGTAAAGTATACAGTATATCCTCTGACATAGTAATGGTAGTTTTTACCTGTGGGCTATAAGAAAATGGAGTTTAACAGAAAGTGTTCTATATTTTTGATTGGAGGACTTCCAGCTTTAGTGAAATATGGCAGCCGCTTTAAACAAACAAACAGAGGCTCCTAAAGATGTGCAAACTTACTGCAAAGATATGCTGTCTAACATTAGAACAGCAATGAGCGCTTTTTAAGTATGGTTCCCTCCATGGCTTTCCTCTCTTCACAGATGATAAGATTACTACATTTCACCAGGGGTGAGTTCCACACACAGAGTCATCCACTATAAAAAATGCTCATAGTGTAGTAATTTTAATCATAATCCACAGCATAAACAATAAAATCATACACCATAAAAACTCTTTAACATATGCCGCTCTGTAAACTAAACATACGTAATGGGCCGCCAGACCTGCAGGGAATGGCAGCACAACCTCTAGTCCTTTACAGCACTGCTTAATGCACAACACGCGTATTCAGGAGCCTGTTTGTTTGTTTAAAGTGGCCATAATTATGTAGTCTATTCCAGGAGCCCTAGAATCTCACTTCCTGTTTCAGCGCCATTTTGTTGTGGTCACACCAACAACAAGCGGCCGTTATTTTCCATTAGACCTGGAAGTCCTCCAATCAAAAATATAGAACACTTCCTTTTAAACTTCACTTTCTTATAGACCACAGGTAAAAACTACCATTACTATGTTAGAGGATATACTGTATGCATTACTATAGAGAGAGCGATTTATTCTCTCTTATTAACCACTTGAACTCCAAAAGACTTACCCCCCTTCATGACCAGGGCATTGACTCAACATGCCTCTCAGCAAATATTTTGGGGTGTCTACCTTCCAAAAAGGGGTCATTTGAAGGGGGGGGGGTTGCCATCCTGGCATTTTATGTCCAACATTAGGAGCTTATGCCACACATCACCCACTCTTCTAACCACTTGAAGACCAAGCCTTTTCTGACACATTTTGTTCACATGAAAAAAAAAATCTATATTCTTTGCTAGAAAATTAATTTGAACCCCAAAATATTATATATATATTTTTAAAGCAGATGCCCTAGAGAATAAAATGGTGGGTGTTGCATTTTTTTATCTCATATAGTACTTGTGCAGCAATTTTTCAAATGCAAAATAGGAAAAAATACACTTTTTTTGCATTTTATTGCACAAAAACACAATATATTGGCCAATTGTTTGGTAAACTATAAAAGATGATGTCACATCGAGTAAATAGATAACAAACATGACATGCTTTAACCACTTGAGCTCCAGAGGATTTACCCCCCTTAATGACCAGGCCTCTTTTTGCTACTCGGCGCTGCACTAATTCAACTGATAATTGTGCGGTCATGCAACGCTGCACCCAAACGAAATTTACGTCCTTTTTTTCACACAAATAGAGCTTTCTTTTGGTGTAATTTGATCACCTGTGCGCTTTTTATTTTTCACGCTATATAAACAAAAAAATGCCAAAAATTTTGAAGAAAAACAATATTTTTTACTTTCAGCTATAAAAAATATATAGTAAACTCAAAGTTGGTTATAAATTTAGGCCAAACTGTATTCTGCTATATGTTTTTGGTAAAAAAAATACCAATAAGTGTATATTGATTGCTTTGTGTGGAAGTTATAGCGTCTACAAACTATGGTATAAATACTGCAATTTACGTAATTTTTCTGCTATACAGCGCTGCGCTAGTTTAACGGACAATTGCGCGGTCGTGCAATATGGTACATAAATAAAATGTACATCCCTTTTTTCCCTACAAATTGAGCTTTCTTTCGGTGGTATTTGATTGCCTGTGCGGTTTTTATTTTTTTGTGCTATAAAAAAAAAGGCTGACAATTTTGAGGGAAAAAAAACAATATTTTGGACTTTTTGCTATAAAACATGTCCAGTAAAAAAAATGCAAAAATCAAATTTAGTCATAAATTTCTGCCAAAATGCATTCTGCGACATGCCTTTGCTTAAAAAAAAAAAAACCAAATACGTGTAAATTAATTGGTTTACGTGAAAGTTATAGCGTTTACAAATGGCGGGAAAGATACTGGGATTTTTAGGGTTTTTTTTTATACTAATAATGGCGGCAATCAGCGAATAATGGCGGCGATCAGGGACTTATGGCAGCGACCAGCGACATATGGCGGGACTGCGGGACTTCAGCGGACATTCTGACATTGGGGGGTACGGACTTGGGGTCACTGACATCCCCAAAAACACTAATACAGTGATCAGTGCAAAAAAAAAAAACACTGACACTGTACTAATGGCAATGGGGAGGAAGGGGTTAACTTTATTTTGCAGGGAAGGGTTATAGGAGTGAGGGGAGTGTTTTACTAGGGGGCGGGGGGGGTGTACTGGACGGGACAAGGCTGATCGAGAAAGAGAAACTGTTCTTTCTCGATCAGCTCATCCTCGAGCTGACAGGGAAGTGACAGACAGCACAGTTACTGCAGCTGTGCTGTCTGTCACTGTTTGCCGCCGATTGCTGGGAAACAGCCGCTAAGGACCGGCTGTGACCCGATGACTCACATCTGCGGCGGTGATCGGCGGGACAGATAGTTCAGTGGCGCGCCTCGCGTGCGCCCCCTATTTGTTTACAAAACACACGTTTTAAAACGTGGTTTTGCCTGCGAGTGCCACCCTGCCGCCATATATCTACAGTGGCTGGGCGGCAAGTGGTTAAAGCTGCATACTCCCCGTGCAACATCGAAAAACCACATACATTTTTAATATAAATAGGTGACAATTTAAAAGTCTTTACAGGTTACCACTTTAGATTTATATAGTTAGTCTGGATGAAAAAAGACAAAAGTCCATCCAGTTCAGTGTTTCTCAACTCCAGTCCTCATGGACCCCCAACAGGTCATGTTTTCAGGATTTCCATTATTTTGCACAGGTGATTTGATCAGTTTCACTGCCTTAGTAATTACCACAGCTGTTTCATCTGAGGGAAATCCTGAAAACATGACCTGTTGGGGATCCATGAGGACTGGAGTTGAGAAACACTGATCCAGTTCAACCATAGGAAAAAAAAAAAAAGTTATAATCCTATAGCCACAGTTGATCCAGAGGAAGACAAAAAAACCCAGCAAAGCATGATCCAATTTGCTCATGCTGGGAAAAAAATTTCTTCCTGATCCCCACAGAGGCAATCGGATATTCCCTGGATCAACTTTACCTATCAATGTTAATATCCAGTTATATTCTGTGTATCTAAGAAAGAATCCAGGCCTTTTTTAAAGCAATCCACTGAGCTGGCCAGAACCAACTCTTGACGGAGTCTATTCCACATTTTTCACAGCTCTCACTGTGAAGAAACCTTACTGTGTTTGGAGATTACATTTCTTTTCCTCCAGACATAAAGAGTGCCCCCTTGTCCTCTGTGATGACCTCATGGTGAATAGCTCTACACCGAGTTCACTATATGAACCACTGATGAATCCTGCAGGCCTCTTCACTAGTGTACCTTTCTTTGGACATTTTGGCCACTAAATTTCTAGGTACCTAGTGCGACTCAAGGGAAAAAGAGCACCTGGCTGTCAGGGACTGTTTGAACTACTACAAAAAAAATTTAAAAAATTACCTGCGGAAACACAGCAGGAGTGCGAATCACATAAATATATGTGATTTTGCACTGGGAGTACACCCTGTAGCAGAAACTCTTTTATAGGGTGGACTTTAAGTGGTTAGATAAAAAATACTAATAAAGCATAATGCTGTTCTAATGTTAGACAGCATATCTTTGTGGTGAGTTTTAAATTTTACCAAATGATGAAGGTTTGACATGGATGGTGTTTTATCACTTTTTGCTTGGTAAAAGCTTGAAGATAATATTATTGGACTTTTTATGTTTTCATTATTTTATATATTTTTATGAATTTCTCACATTATAAATTGGGACACTGAGGTGTAATTATTCACATGTGTTTGTGGACAATCAATTAGAAATTTACATGTAACTATAGTAAGTGCTACAATCACGTTTATTTCTAAACAATACCATGTTTATATAGAAACGTCCACAACTTTATTAGGAAAGACA